AGGACAGACGAATCCGCACCCCACCGAGTATTGGACACCATGCGCACTGTGTTCAGTGCTTTCTTGCCGCGGGCCAAAAGGTCCTCCACGTGATGTGTCCACCGTAGTCCTCTGTCGAGGATGACGCCTAAGAACCGCATCGATGGTACGCACTCGATTCGCGAGTCAGACACTCGCAAACTAGGGTCCGTATGTTCACGGCGTAATCTACAGAAATGTACGGATTTGGTTTTATCTCTGGAGATTTTAAAACCTCTATAACAGGCATTTTCGTTTATTTTGTTGATCGCCGTTTGTAGCATACGCTCCATTACCGTCATGTCACTCCCACTGTAAAAAATGGCCAAGTCATCGACGGCATCCAGACCGGATGTGATGGAGTTCATGGCTACCAGGAACAACGTCACGCTCAGGGTGGAGCCTTGCGGTATACCGTTTTCTAAAGTTTTCCGTTTCGACAGACTGTTGCCTACCCGAACTCTGAAGTTTCGGTTTTCGTGGAAAGACGATACGGCCACGGGGAGTTTTCCCCGAAAACCCCAAGCGTGGAGCTGCTCGAGGATGCCGTATCGCCAGGTCATATCGTAGGCTTTTTCGATGTCAAAGAAAACGGCAACCAGATGCTCTCTCTTGAAGAAAGCGTCCTGAACGGCGCGCTCCAGGAGGACCAAGTTGTCGGTGGTAGAGCGACCCTGCCTGAAACCAAATTGATGGTCGGCGAGGAGTCGCTTACTTTCCAGCACCCACACGAATCTGGAATTCACCATTTTTTCGAACAACTTACTAAGACAACAGATAAGACTGATCGGTCTGTAGCTGTTCACCGACGTCGGATCTTTGCCCTGTTTCAAGATTGGTACGATCAACGAAGTCTTCCAGGACGGTGGAAAGGTACCGGAAGACCATACGTTATTGTATAGGTCCAGTAACAGTTCCAGCCAGTCCTCGGGAAGGTGTTTGACGAATTCGTACCGAATCCCATCTTGGCCGGCCGCAGATGGTTTTGCCGTCTTCAGAGACTCACACAGCTCTTTCATCGTGAAGGGTGAGTTATACGATATCTCACCCTCACTCCAGAAATTTAGAGGGATTGATTCTCGAGTTCTTTTATTTCGCCGGAAATCGCCATCGTAGTTGGACGAGGAGCTCGTCCGCTCGAAATGTCGGCCCAGGGCCTCGGCGATGTCCTCTCTGTAGGTCAGAGAGTTGTCATCGTCCAGAATTTCTGATATGGGGCCGTAGTATCCGGCCCCCTTGATGGCTCCGATCTTTCTCCACACCTCGACGGGGGAGGTTTTGCCGGTCAGGGAAGAGACGAAGTTTTTCCAACTATTTCGTTTGGCCGCGAGCATAAGACGTCTCGCTTTGGCCCTCGCTTTTTTGAATTCTATCAGACGCTCAGGCGTGGATAGATTCTTAAAGCGATTGTATGCGGCTTTCTTTGCTTTAACGGCTGCTTCGATTTCGGGGTTCCACCAGGGAACGGAGCCCGTCCTCACACGTCCGCTACTGCGCGGTATCGATTCCTCTGCGGCGTTTTGAATGGCACGCGTAAAAGCGGCCACGTCATGTTCCACGTCACCGTTGAAGGTCGGTTTCCGGAGCCGGAGCGCGAATCGCGTCCAGTCCGCCTTCTCGAGAATCCACTTTCTCGGTGTTTCGTGGTTTTCGGTTTGACCAGGAATCGATACTATTATGGGAACGTGGTCGCTAAAGGATAGATGCTCCGCCGTGCTCCAGAATAATCTTGGAGCTATCGACGGAGAAGCGATGGACAAATCGACAGCCGTTAAAGCGCCCGACCTGGCAGCCAAGTGTGTGGGATCGCCGGTATTCAAGAGAACAAGTCCCTCGTCCTCCAGGAGCGTTTCGATACTGCTCCCCTGGGCGTCTCGTC